GGTGGGGTGGGAAGGCTGCAGCTGGCTGACCTGGGCCGGCGCGGTCTGTCGTGGGGGGAGGCCCACAGCTGGCCTACCTGGGCTGGCAGGGTCTGTCGGGGGGGGAGGCCTGCAGCTGATCTACCTGGGCCAGTGGGGCCTGTCGGGGAGGGGAGGCCTGTCTGGGGGGGTTGGGAGGCCCGCAGCTGGCCTACATGTGCTGGCGGGGCCTGTCTAGGGGAGTGGGAGGTCTGTCTGGGGGGGAGAGGCTTGTCTGGGGAGGTGGGAGGCCCGTGGCCTACCTTGGCCGGCGGGGCCTATCTGGGGTGTGTGGAAGGCCCACAGCTAGCCTAACTGGGCTGGCGTGGCCTGTCTGGGGTGGGTGGGAGGCCCACAGCCAGCCTACCTGTTTCCCTGAAACCATCCAGCCCTAATCTATCTTGCTGGAAAACATTCCTCAGCCACACTTCTCTACCATAAATGACAACTTTCAAAACTATAGACATTTCACAACACTCATTTCCGAAGACTCTTCCTTCTCATTCCCACGTAACCTACTGAGACTTTCGTCACAACCACTCACTTTCAACCCACCTTCCCTTGAGACCTCTGCTCTAACAGGGTGGACAATGTGACCACAACCACATTGAATGACAAGGACATCCAACATAAAATGACTTCGTAGACTGCCCAGTTGTTGACACTACTCCACAGACCCCTGTGTGCAATAGGACTGCTAAGTGGGGGCGGGGGGTGGGTAAACCCCCGCTTTGGAGGCCCGATTTCCACTGCTGCAGAATCGCGCCCCGGGGGGAACTCGGCCCCCGAAGCGCAGCATGGCTGCGTCACCAGAGGTGACTCAACCACGTCGATCACGTTGGGGATGTGAACTGGATCGTCGGAGGGAAAACTCTATGGTTTTCCCTCCAACAATGGGGGCCACGCTTCCAATGCGATCGATGTAGCACATCACTAATGGGATGCGCTGGTGGCTCACACACACTTTGCGCGCATGCGACAGAGAAGAGCTCCCAGAGCCGAGCAACGCTCCCCCGCCGGAAAGTCGATACGACTTGGCAACCCTAGTGTGCGACATTTTCTGGCCCACATTGTGTGACCTTGGACACCAGCTATTGTGTAACATAAGGTATGTGAGGCTTTACTTCCACATTTGTATCTTTCACTTACAGACTGCTAATATTTACTTTACCTCCTTCCAGCCTATGCATTTATTACACATCACATCGTTCTAGAGTACATTGTATTGCTTTAGCTACTAAAGGCTGATCATTAAATGATAGATAATGTTTACCTTGTCGAGCAAACACAGCTTTAGCATAATCAGGGTGGTTGATTAGCAAGCTAGCTGAAAAGCCACCAAACCATCTAGGAAAGGCATAGGGGTAATTTTCTGCCCATTCCAAGATTTTTTTGAATTCTTGTCCTCGTCGGATCTACAATAGAAAATATGAAAACATGTAATAAAGCACCTCATTTGTTAAAATTGTAGAGCAGATTTTTTTTCATAAATACTTGGACCACTGACTTTTTTTGAGAATCCAGTTTTGCAAAAGGATTCCCTGTGCAGTGTGTAACTTACTGTTCAAAATACAATTACTACCTAGCCCACAAGGAACAATGACTGTATACCCCATTATAAAAAGAATGTGATACCACATGTGTCACATTCTCCGTTTTCTAAGAGGTACCATTGCCAAAGATGGAGCTAGCATTACTGATGAGCATAAAGGCACAGTAGCTGTTTCCTTTTGGAAGAAGTATTTGGAAACAAACTTTTGAAATGTCAGTGAATTTGATCCATTTGCATATAGCTGGTAGGTCTTCCCAAAATGGAGAAATTATTCCCATGAAGGAGAAAGCTCTTATTAACAGTGTCAGTTTCTTCATGTTTATGACTTCAATGCTTCTTGTGCAATGCAAAAAGGGAGGGGGGAAATGAGAACTACTCAATATACAATTGTGCAAAAGAACAGCAGAAATGGTTACAAACATTTATGTAAAATAATCTTATTATTTTTGTAAAGGTGCAGGTGATACAGGATTTGTCACAGAAAGGATAGTTGAAGAATAAGAGGCAGAGTGGGTTGAAAATTGTATTGCTCTGTACAATTCTATTAATATCCTTCCTGGTCAGGTAGAATAGTGGAGAAAGAACCATTACAACAAGATACAGAATTTGCTAATAGTGGCTAAGATATCTATAGCTTCATATTGATATAAAATCCATTGTTCAAAATGATTATACAGGTGTAAGCAGGCAGACCCCCTCTCTTTAGTGAGGGGCAATGTGGAGGAGAACACCCCCATTTTTCAGCTCTTCAGGAGTACATATGTCAGGCAGACTTGACCTAAGTATAAACAAGATGGATTCCAGACAGGCAGGCCTCATAGTTATGCCTAAGTAAAGACCCTGGTAAGTGTGACATCTTGGTCTGACCCAGCTGCAGCCTGTCTCCCTAACCTGACATCTGCATATGCCAAACAATGGATTTGCCTCACCCCAGAGCTAACATCATTCAACCTGGATTGTTAATTCTATCAGCCTCCCCTCCCCTTTCCCCTCATTTCTTTCATAACAACAGCTCCTCTCTTTCCCACCTAACACAAAAGGAGGGTCACCAAGCAGTATTGTTTCTTTTTGATTAGTTTAATTAGCAATCCATTACCCTCTGAATCACCGGAGGAAGCAACCAGAGTTCCAGCTCAAACACTATTTTACAGTTCCGCAGGGCCTGTAAAACAAAGCTCTTCCACCAGGCTTTCTATTAGGAGCTGCCACTGATGAATGAGCACTAAGAATAACTATGGAAGCTGGCCTGGTTATACCGGATCACTATACAGCAACCACCATCTAAATTGATCTGCACTTTACTTGTATATTGTTTTATGTGGAATCTTATTGTATTGCATCTATGCACTGTGTTTTATTGTATTTTAACGTTGTACGCCGCCTTGAACCTGCCTGTGCAGGCAAGGCAGGATATAAATCGAAAATAATAAATAAATAAACATTTTACATCTAAAACTCCTCCTAAGAACATCTCCTGTTCCCTTTGTCCATTCCTGGGAATGCTATTCAGCCATTCACAGACACCTCTAGCTAATCTTATCCAAAACACATTAACGCCTTAGTTTACTCGGGACCTCATCTCTCATGCAAACTGTCACAAGTTTTCCAGGTCTTTGTTTATCCTGGGAAAGCCATTTTTGGTATTATTTTGAGGCACAAATGTCAGACTGCCTCAGGACACAATTTTCCTATAAAAATAATACCCAGAGCTCTTTGGGTGTATGTTTCCTGGGTCCAAACTGCACACCCAAGATACTGGACATCTTGCCCTTCTGGACCTTGCCTCTCCTGGACAGGTACCTATAATCCCAATACCCCCCTATATTTCCAGCTAATCCCTTTTTTTTCTTAATTGGTCTTGTATGTGTGCTGCTTCTTGCATGCTTATTGTATGGTAATACTCTCATTTTCTCTTAAATAAAATCAATATCTATTTTACCTTGGTCTGATCATTTTGAGACTTCTCTTACAGGGAAAGATAGTGGCAGTGCTGTCTTGCTAGATCACCTCCCTTTCTCCAGCTTTCCTTGTCTATTTAGTTGTTGTAGATTTTCTGGGCTATATGGCCGTGGACATGCTCAAGATCCTACAAGCTAGGCTTCAACAGTACGTGGATAGAGGACTGCCAGAAGTACAAGTTGGGTTTCGAAGAGGTAGAGGAACTAGAGATCAAATTGCCAACATTCGCTGGATTATGGAGAAAGCAAGAGAGTACCAGAAAAACATCTACTTCTGCTTCATTGACTATGCTAAAGCCTTTGACTGTGTGGATCACAACAAACTATGGCAGGTCCTTAAAGAGATGGGAGTACCAGACCACCTCACATGTCTCCTGAGAAACCTGTATAAGGGTCAAGAAGCAACAGTTAGAACCGGATATGGAACAACGTATTGGTTTAGCATAGGAAAAGGAGTATGACAAGGATGTATATTGTCACCTTGCTTATTTAATATATATGCAGAGTACATCATGCAAAATGCTGGCCTGGATGAATCACAAGCGGGAATTAAGATTGCTGGGGAAAAGATCAACAACCTCAGATATACAGACAATACCACTCTGATGGCAGAAAGTGAAGAGGACCTCAAGAGCCTCTTGCTCAGGGTAAAAGAGGAGAGCGCAAAAGTGGGCTTGAAGATCAACATCAAAAAAAACTAAGATCATGGCATCCGGCCCCATCACTCCTTGGCAAATAGAAGGGGAAGTCGTGGAAGTAGTGACAGACTTCACGTTCCTGGGATCCCAGATCACCGCAGACTGTGACAGCAGCCATGAAATTAAAAGACGCCTGCTCCTTGGGAGGAAAGCGATGGCGAACCTAAACAGCATGATAAAAAGTAGAGACATCACCCTGCCAACAAAAGTCCGCATGGTCAAAGCAATGGTATTCCCAGTAGTCATGTATGGCTGCGAGAGTTGGACTATAAGGAAGGCCGAGCGCCGAAGAATAGATTCTTTTGAACTATGGTGCTGGAGAAGACTCTTGAGAGTCCCTTGGACTGCAAAAAGATCAAATCAGTCAATCCTAAAAGAAATCAACCCTGACTGTTCCCTGGAAGGCCAGATAATGAAACTGAAGCTCAAATACTTATTGTGTTTATGTTTATGACTTTCAATGGCTTCTTTGTGTAATCTGACATGGTAACTGGATGTGTTGTCCACCATTTCAGTGTCTTGGAATAAGATACTGTGCCCTGTTTGGGTTAGGCTATGTTCAGCCACTGCTGATTTTTCAGGTTGGCCAAGTCTGCCGTGTCTTTCATGTTCTTTTATTTTTGTCTGGATGCTACGCTGTGTGGTCCCAGTGTAAACCTGTCCACAACTGCAGGGTATGTGGTATACTCCTGCAGAAGTGAGGGGGTCTTTTCTGTCTTTTGCTGATCGTAGCATCTGTTGTATTTTTCTGGTGGGTCTGAATACTGTTTGTAGGTTATGTTTTTTCATACGTTTTCCCATCTGATCAGTGATTCCTTTGATATATGGCAAAAACACTTTTCCTGTGGGAGACTGGTTTTCCTCAGTTGTTTGTTTTACCTGTGGTTTAATTGCTCTTCTGATTTCATTCTTGGAGTAGCCATTTGCTTGAAGTGTGTGGTTTAGATGATTTAGTTCATTGGTGAGAAAGTGCGGTTCACATATCCGTCTTGAACGGTCTGCTAATGTTTTGATTATGCCTCTTTTTTGCCGAGGGTGGTGATTGGAGTTTTTGTGTAAATAATGATCTGTGTGAGTTGGTTTTCTGTAGACCTTGTGACCAAATTAAAGGTTAGCTTTGCAGATGACTGTGATATCTAGAAACGGAAGTTTACCCTTGATTTCTTTTTCCATGGTGAATTGTATGTTCGGGTGGATGTTGTTAAAGTGGTCTAAAAACTCCATCAATTCTACCTCTCCATGGCTCTAAATGATAAAGGTATCATCTACATACTTGAACCAGATCGTAGGTTTGTGGTGTGCAGATTCTACAGCTGTTTTTTCAAAATGTTCCATGTAGAAGTTTGCTATAACCGGGCTGAGAGGGCTTCCCATGGCAACCCCATCCATCTGTTAATAGAATTCATTATCCCATTGGAAGTAATTGGTTGTAAAACAATGGTGGAATAAGGCTGTTATGTCCTCCGGAAAAATCTGATTAACAAGTGCAAGTGTGTCCTTTACTGGAACCTTTTACCAGGAAGCTCCTCCATTAGCATGTCACAGCCTGGGATACTCCTACAAGATAATGACTCAGCCCTACGCCACCTTCCTGAGTACAGCCCGGAAAATATACAACAACTAATGAATTCCGGCCATGAAAGCCTTTGACAACATATCTCCCTGTCTCCTTGTTAATTCTCCCCAACAAAAACAGAAGACGATCCGCTTTTGGGGCAACACAGACCATTTGGGGTAACAGAAGATTTGGAAAATGGCTACAATGGCAGAATTAAATCAGGAAGTGGAAAAATTACTTCTAAAGTTTTTTTTTAAAAAAAAACATTGCCTTCTTTTATTAAATTCTGTTAAAACCCCCACAGGGATGTAAATCAATATGACATTGTCTTGATTATCCAACAAGAAGTGGGGACCCACAAGAAAGTTGTGGGAGTGGCTATCCCATTCCCCCCATTTCTGCTTCTTCCCCTCTCCCCCTACTTCTCTCACACTCTTTCTCCTTCCTGCCACTCCTTTTATTACTCTCTCTCTCCCCCTACATGCTTATCACTTCCTTTCTGCCCCTACCCCATCACTCTTTCTACCCCTGTCACTTTCCCAGCCTCACACCTACTTCCTTCCTCCCCATAGTAGCAGTAGCAATAGCTGCTCTCCAGGAATCACAATGGATTGCCCAAATACAGAGATCAGTTCCTCTTAAGGTTGCCAGCTCCATGTTGATAAATTCCTGGAGATTTGAGGGTAGAACCTTGGGAGGATGAGGTTTGAGCTTGAAAGTGGCCATAAACTCCACCCTTCAAAGCAGCCATTTTCTCTGAGGAAACCTCTGTCACCTGGAGATCAGTTGTAATTCCAGAGCTCCAGCCCTCACCTGGAGGTTGGCAACATTAGTCCCCCTGGAAGAAATTACGGCTTTGGAGGGTGGAATCTATGGCATTATATATGTCTGAAGTCCCTCCCTGCTTCAATCCCCACCATTCCCAGGCTCCACCCCTCAAAGATCCAGGAATTTCCCAACCTGGAGTTGGCGCATTCCTGTTTCCTTCCCACCCAACAGCCAACCAACATTTATCTGCCCCTCTGTGTTCAGCTTGCCTTTCCATCTCCTTTCCCCCCTGCAGCTTCTACTGAGGAAAACTATGGTCTTTCTCCACAGTGGGGACTCAAGCAGTTTATATTATTCTCTCCTCCTTTTTATCCACACAACAGGCCCGGCTCCAAACTGCCTGCTATATAGCCATTCATACTGCAGGAGGACTCCTTCCCAATCCAAGCACTCCAGTCCTGCTCTCTCTCTCTGTCTCTCTGTCTCTCTGTCTGTCTCTCTGTCTGTCTCTCTCTCTGACTGTCTCCCACTGTCAATGTGGCAGGGCCTGGAGTAGAACCCTGTGGTGGCCATTTCAAAAGGTATTGGGGGGGAATTCAATCCAGAGGGTGTTTTTTTTAATTCTTCGGATTTTTCTGCAAACTCACAGAGTCCTCTGAGTCTGTAGAAAAACCTGTTGGAGGAGAGTATGCCCCTATCTCCAGAAATAAGTATCCACACACAGAAGGGAATGCTGAGAATTAGATATATAGATTTTAATAGGTGGCACATTGAAAAATGGTATCTCTTATCAACTTGCTGTGAAAATTATGGTTATACCTTTAAATCTATATATGTACAACTGGAACAAATTTTGAGAGGGTATAAAGGCAGAGACTGTAGAAAAGGGCATGGGAAAATGAAGATGAGTAAGGGCAACTTAAGCAGACAATGCATGGATCTAGCAAACAACACAGGTCAATATTTAACAGGGCTTGGATAAAACTCCCAAATGGCCTGGGCATAGGAAAAGCAGTGGGCTATTGGTAAGGAAGAGCTTTGGAACAATCATGCCAGGAAAGAACTAAATCTTTAGTTAATGAAGCTCTTGAATAAACCTTGCAGCTTTATGATACAGATAATTTTTACCTAGGCTTGCCAACTCCAGATTGTGAAATTCCTGGAGATTTGAGGGTGGAGTCTGGAGAGGGCATGGTTTGGGAAGAGGAAGGACCTCAGTAGGGTATAGTGCCATACACTCTACCATTCAAAGAAGCCATATTCTCCAGGGTACCTGATCTAGTCTAAAGATCAGTTGTAATTTCAGAATATGCCTCACCTGGAAGCTGGTAACCCTATTTTACATCAAATGTTTCTGTACATGCAAGGAAGTGTTCCTTTTTTAAAGTCATTTATCATAAGTACAGACTTTGATGGAATCTGTAGAAAATTAGGTCTGCTACTGAATTGCTCAGCTTGGTCATTTCAACTTGAACAGATTCCTGGTATCTTTTGTTTCTACCTTGTGCAAATGGAAATTGTTAATCTTTATTTTTATGCTATTTTCTGGTTTTGCATGTTTATTTTTCTCATTAGAAATAACAATTTCAACACTGTTTTTGCAGTATTTTGGTATCTAAATTATACAAGACATAAATGCAACAAAATAACATAATGGTGTAAAAAGACAAAGGCTAACTGGACACATGAGCAATGAAATAGGTTCACATCAACAACATACAAAAAATAGAAACGAAATGATATATTTATATATCTCTGTGAAAATACTTCCTTTTTCCAACACAAATATCAACACAAAAATTAAAATCTCATGCAATTGCAAGATGAGGAAAATGAGGGATAAACATGCAGACAACCTCTAGTCACTTCATATAAAATACCTGATTCGACTGTAAGCCTGGTATGACATACTGCATTTTTAAAAGCTTAGAAGTGCCATGTAAATAGATGAAGGATTGAGAAGTTAATTCTTCACAGAGCCAGATAGCCTTGAGTGACAGTCTGTTCCAAGAGATCTGATTGGTTAGTATCAGCTGAGCAGAGAAAGGCCTCTGAAGTGGATACTCAGGAGAATTGAGTCTGATTTCAGCCCTAGCTGAAACACAGACAGGAGAACTGCGGAAAGTTGGCAAGGATGAATGGGTAGTTAGACAGAGACTCCCATTCGGGACAAAGAAAGATTATAGGTCTTCTAGTGAGTGGAAAATTTCCCTACCCAGTTGAACAGGGAGTTAGCTCTGAAGTGTGCAGAGATCCCTGGTCTGGTGTGGTTAGAAACTGCCTTTGGATACCTTAAGAGTCAGTTAAAAACTCAAGACAAGTACTGGTGTTCCAAGGAGAAGGGGTTTGGGTACTGGAAACAGTGCACCAGCTTTCTGGAAACCATAAGAATTGGACAATACTCAAAGAATGTGTGTTGGAGTGTTGGAACAAAAGCCTCTCAACATAAAGATTTTAAGTAATGTGAATAGCTTAATGAGAATAGCTAAGAAACTCTTATTAGCCTGAAATATAAGAACTAACATCTGTGCATGTACTGATTTTACCTCAGAGTTATCTATATGAGTACTTCAGAAATTGTACCCCTGATTTCACCTGACCTTTCCCCTCTATGTTGAATATATTTCGTTAATCTGGAATATTGAAAATTTCTCAAGTGCCATTTAAGGCATATAAGTTAGAGGGGGTTACAATTCCTTCCCTCAGGTTCCTGGGTTGAGCAAACAGGCAAAATATTATACTGTGATAGGGTGGGACAGCCAGAATTCTTCAGGAAAGAAGAAAACAGATAACTAGGGTGGCTCAGTCACAGAAGGGAAAGAAAATCGGAGGAAAAATCTAACCTCTGAGGGAGGGAAGTGGATGGGGTCGTCATAGCTGACAAAGCAAAAAACATCCCTGTGGGACTTTGCACAGGCTCTGCATCTCATTTAAACTGGGTTACAACCAGCTATGCATACTAAGCATGTCAACACACTACCCACAAGAGTTACAGAGCCCTTCCATGTAGACTAAGCACACTTAGCTGCTTTGCAATGGTTGCAGCCCAGTTTAAGTGAGTTGTTGAGCTAGTGAAAATATCTATTTGTCAGCATTTTGCTGAGGTAGTTTTGAAGTATGTTAAATTAACAAGGAATTTAATAATGCCAGTGATCACCATAGATTCTGACACTGAAATAAAAGACACTTTTCCCACAGCCCAGGAGGGATGCTTTAGTGTATTGTCATCAAAAACATGTTTATTTTCATTGCCATTCCCAGCTTCTAAACTTAACAGATTTTTAGAATTCAGCACACAATTGATAAATGTAACAGATTCAGCTATCATTCAAGAAAACAGCACAGACTCAATCAAATAGGTACCAATTCAGTTCATAAGCATAGCCAGTACATGGTGAGGAAATTTTGATGAGAAAATATATGCAGCAGAAGTCCTTTGCACCTTAGTTGTGGTGTTCTATTTAAACTCCCCTTTTCCCTGTCCCAAAGCCACCTTTCTTACCTCCTTGTTGTGGCCGTAAAGCCAGTGGCTGGGAGGACCCGGAAACATCTTGAAGGTGTTCAGCAACTCTCTTTTCCTCCAATATAACTGAATAGCTTTCAGTAACACAAAGATGAAGAGTAACCCAATAAGTAAGTGCAGAGCATGGGGTGAGGTTATCATTATTCTCTCCAGCATGAAAGCCATGCTACAGCACACTCTATGCTTTTCTAACTGCTTTTTTCTGTGTATGGGAACAGCAGTCTTTCAGCCCTCCTTCTCAGTCAGTGTTCTGTGCTGGAAAGTTTTCAGCTACCTGCTTAGTCACCTAGGAAAATCATTATACAAGAGAAAGAGAACAAACAAACAAAAAAAAGGTCACCATTAGTTAACCTTTGCAAATCGAAAGAAAATACCCTGCATTTCAACATTTGCAGGTGTTTCTGTTGTTTTGCATCTTACACTGGTAGCTGACACCAATATTTAGGTGCAGGGAAAACACTCATTTGATGAGGTAAGGGCCTGGGGCAGTAAAGGAAACCAATGGCATACCTAGCCTATTTGCCGCCCAGGGCAAATAATTTATTAACTTCTCTTTTTTCCCCCTGTCAAATCACAGCTGATTTATAGTGGTGCCTTAGGGTAGAGGCAAACCTAACATATTCAACACCTGGAGCTGATCATTTTTTTATCACCCCCTCCTCTATATAACAAAAATTATTTTCAGTAATAATCATGAAATAAATGCACCTTAGAGACCAAGAGTTTCAGGGAATAAGCCCCTTTTGTCAGACATGGATAGGAATAGAGATCCAACTTTTCTTCTACCTCATGACCCAGTGGGAAGTTCTCCTGCCCAACAGCCTGGGCTGGGTTAGGTGAACTTCCTGTAAGCAGCTGACCCTTTACAGAATGCCTGCTGAAATATACTGGGTTCAGATGCGTAGAAGTGATCAGCTCATAGTTTATTAGTGATTCAGCAAGAGAAAGAAGACTGCAATCCCTGGCCGAAGCCAGGTATTTATGTCTGAAAGAGGTTACACCCAAAAACACCCCACTCCCAACAATAGGCAAGTTACACTCTGTTGTTTCCCAATTGGTTTACTCTAGGATCCCTGCCTCCCTACTGGTCCATTCTAAGATCCTAGCAATCTATTGTTATGTATCCCAAGCTCAGTCCTTTTGCAAGGACAGTTCAGGCTCAATACATAACACCTGCTGAGAAGGATGGTGAAATCAACAGCAGGTAACGCTGCTGGCAGTCAAATCCAGCTAAACTGGAACACAGTGTTGCTACTGTGGGTGCCTCCATCAGTTATGCCAGATACAGATGTATAGTAATGCATGACCAGATAACTGCATTTAAGGAGGGAGGGGGAAGTTTGGAGAATTTGGAATTTGGAGCACTCCTGTGCCTTTTTAACTTCTACTAACACTAGCCAAATCATCACAAAATAGTGATTGTAAACTTCACCAGATTGGATGTTAAGGAATACACTACCTCCACCCAAAGAAGCTGCCCCCATCCTCCATTGTTTCCAAAGGACTGAAGTCAAACCAGAGAATCTCTGCAGTAGAAACTGGGGGGGAGGACTTTTGGAAGCCCAGAAGAACCAGTGAAATTTACAGAGTACCCAACAGTACCAGTGCAATCACATAATGCCCAACAGAACCCATTGCCATTGTGGCAATGCCAGCTCAACAGGACTGATGTCATACACAGAATCACAGTTGGGGTGGGGTTGAGGTTAGAAGCCAAACAGAACCAGTGCAATGCACAGTGCCCAGCAAGCCCAGTGCCACTGTGGCAGTGCCAGCTGATGTCAAGCACAGAATCACAGTCCAAGCAAGTGTGTGGGTTGGAAGCCTAGCAGAACCAGTGCAATGTACAGTGCTTAGAAAACCCAGTACATTCTGTTCATAATATTAACAAAGGTTTGCTGCTATACTACTCTTAAATACATTCTGTCACCAAGCAGGACAGGAATGAGAAGATCTTGAGACCAAGAAGTGAAAATAAAAGGGGGAGGGACCACAGAAAAATCAGATGAGGGGAGACAGAAATGAATGAGAAAAGTGTGAAAAAGAGGGAGAGCGATTAAGAGAGGGAAAGATTGTGTTATCTTGCTGTAATACTGTAACTATTGCTTTGCAAGATCTGGCTGAGCTGGGTGCAAGGAAAGGAAGAGAGAAAGGCTAGACTATTGGAGAAAATGACCTGCCGGGTGGTAATTACTGTAGCAGCTCTCAGTGTGCTGGCTTTGTTGTTGGGTTTAGCACAATCTGTTAAACAAGTTTGCCTCACTCTTGGAGAAAGGAAAGTGTAGCCAATCCTGGGTCCCGGTCACACGGGCCGGAAAATGCGGGGGGAAGCATGGCTGTTTGCCCCAGAGCAAAATAACGCATGGCCACCCAATCACACGTCCCGTTGAGGTCCCGTGGTTAGGGGGTGAGGTGCTGATCACACGGCTATCCTGCAGCACGGCAAAGAAGTGGTGCAGCGTGATCACAGCAGCAATCGCTAGGCGCCGCTTCCATGGCAAACGGGTGGGTTTTTTTTACTGAAGCTTGTGTGCATGCACTGTTGGGTGCTTTTGTGCATCCTGTGGAGACTTGGGGGGGAACCCCTTGTTTGCGAAGGAACATCGGCGGGCGCAGGATGCCACGGGATTCCAATGGAAACACGATCAGACGCCTACCCTTGCCCCACAGTGTCTGGAAACCAGTACCTGAAATCTGTGTTTACATGGCCACTGTTATAAACTTGTGTTTTCGTGAGGGAAATGAGCTCAGAACTTGTCCTTACATCTACCATAATGTTGAACAGTTTAATTAGACCTTTTGAGCATGCGTGGCCACCTAACAAGCTCCTTTGGGATCATGCCCTGCCCTGGCATCAGCCATAAACATTGTAACACTGCATTTATGGCCTTGCAGCCAGGGTGAACCAGCCACTAGGCTTACAATTTGCCTGGTAGGAGCAGGCAATGGGGGAATGAGAAGGATGAATTGTCACCTTTGAATGAGGTGCAGTTTCTAAGGTATAAACGCCTCCTGCAAGAAGACTGGCAGAATGACATGTAATGAGAAGCAAAGCAATTGCCACAGTGCTCCTGTGACTTATAGCACCTTACTCTTTATGACACTGAAGAAAACAAACCAGCTACTTTGATACTCTCTGGGCATGTGATGTTGTCAAAGGTGGGTGAGCATGAACTGTCTTTGTTACATATTAACTGTATTAGCAATAACACAAGGGATTTGTGAATTTGTTTTAAGGTGTCAGCATGTTTTCTCAAACTGTTGAATAAACCTTAGTTCACAGGAATCTGTACCTTGTGCTTCCATGTTTAGGGCATGAATAAATAGCTCAGTTAAGCATTGACTAGTGCAAGAACCTGTGTACTGAAACTATGCCTTCTGCCTACCATATGAAGCTGGCTATTAATAGCACATTTTTCTGGGATTGTTTGGATGGAGAAACTTCTTGTTAGTGGCTTCTCCTCTTTAGCTCCCACTATTTCATAGGACTATCAAATCAGCCATGCTTAAACATCTTGTCTCTTAGTCTTTCAAAAGAAAGATTCAAACTTACCTTGCTCCAGCTGCAAATGGAATAAATGCATGAGGATGCCTTTGGGATGAGTTCTTTGCTGAAAACCTTGTAGGATCAAAACCCTGAAGTAATTAATGGGATATTCTTAATTATTAATAGCGGGCAGTATTATTTAATACCAGTAAGCAGCAGCAGTACTAATTAATAGTAAGCTGTACATAGGAACAGAAGAGCCTTCCTGAATCAGACCAGTTCCTCTGGAGGACCAACAACAGGCATATAGGCCGAAACCTCTCACTCCGACCTCCCCCCTCCCAGATGTTGCCTCTGGCACTGGGATTCAGAGTTTGACTCCCCTGAATGTGGATGTTCCCCTCAGCCACCATGGCTTGTAGCCATTGATAGATTTATCCTCCATGAATCTATCTAATTCCCTTTTAAACTGTTTATTCTTGTGGCCATCACTACATTCTCTGTAGTAATAGCTTATACGATTTTCCTTAAGTATTTGAATGTCATTATTTTTACATTCTTGAGCTCTGATGCTTTAAAATCCAAACTTTGAATATTGTGTCATTGTATTATGATTTCATTAAGTATTATTATTATTTACAAAATTTGTAGTTTACCTTTCTGCCCTCATAAGGGGCCACCAATGTGACCATGGATGAGCTAAACAATATTGAGCATCCCATAGAAACAATAAAAAGAAATATCATTTTCAATGTGATGGGGAAGGTTTCAAGTTTAAATAGCTCTGTTGCATCCACCAGCCTAGACAGTGTACTTTGTTCTACCTATAAAGCATTTTTGTAAATTAAAGCAAATGGAGAATTCCCCTATCACTCAGAGGTCCATGTGCACAGTGACGTCTTATGGAACTTCAAGTTATACTGAAGTCTTTCAGTTAAGTTATATGATAGCATGTCTTCCTTATTTGAAAAAAAAAGTTACCTTAGAGTCTTGTCATACATTTAGGTTTTTATGAATATTTTGAATGCTAATTGCAACCAGAAAGCCTGAAAAACAGCAGGGAGGGGAACAGATGATGGTTAGAACTGTGCAAGAGGCTCAAAGGGCAGGACTCAAAGTACTGCACAGCTAATTTGTCATGCTTTGGAGACTGTGTTTGAGCCCACCTTCACCCACTGTCCCATGGGTGGGGATTTTCTAAAGTTATTGGTAATATTGCATGGTTGTTTGCTGTTCAGAGACAGCAAATCAGAAGTCCATTGGTTTATCCAATCTCTTGGCCATCTCCCTGTCAACCTTGTCAATTGTCCATTAGCTTTTGGGACAAAAGGCATCAGAGAGTTTGGAATGATTAAAATAATTTAATGAACTGTGGTAGGCTTCCATGGGTATATCTGAAAGCAGATATGGTAGACAGCTATTTATTCAAACTGAAGTACTTCTTTAGATGAATATTATCATTGACCTATTGTCACCACTTTTGAAGTACTGTTTTCTGCATTTCCTTGGTAATTTATGAAGGAGAACTTTTTTCATCTTGCTCATAAGGGACCTGCCACCTGCATTGGGGTGCACACAGAATTTCTCCTCAGCATGTCATCAAAAAGAACAACAAGTATTCCATTTCTTTAGGAGCTTCTCAGTAATATGTGAACCAGTATTAGTGCCATCAAATGTT